TCTCACGTCACCTCTCTGCACAGGTTAAGCTTGGCTTAGCTGTGCCTCTACCAGCTATGCCACCCATTACACCTCCTACACCCACCAAGGCCTGCTCTGCTGGGTTGATGCCATCTCCATTCCTCTGTAAATCATCACTGCCCAGGCAAAAGGAGATTGGGCATGGGCAGGTGAAGCTTGGTCGAAGAAAAGCAATGCAATATGACAGGGACTTCCCCTCTGGTCCATGTCCCTTGGAAACACTGAGCCATCGGACACAGGTAGAGCCAGGGACAAACTGGTAAGCAGGAGGCCACAAATCCTCTGCCAGCCCCCAAACCACAGGGCGCAGCACCACAGGCAGAATTCCTCTCTCTGACCTATTTGCTGCTACTTGCCAGAGTCTGACATTGCTCAGCAAAATGCTTCTGCATTGCAAGCGGGGGGGTCACGGCCTACCTGGTCTATTCAATTCCTAAAAGCCTTCCTGAGCCAAGCCTTCCACTCCTGCACAGCTTCCTTCTTGGGTTTACCTTTAACAACCTCCACTTTAGTGGTGATCTCTTTTGCTATCAGGCTGTTGTTGCTGGCTTTCCAGGTGACCTGGCAAGTGTAGGTTCCCCTGTCAGAGACCTCCAGGTTCAAGATGTGGAGAGAAACGTTTCCTGGGGCATCCTTCAGGACGCTGACCCTGTCCCTGTACTCGGACAGGAGAACATGGTCGCCAGAGCTGTCCCTCCGAAAGACGGTGCCAGAGCTCTGGTCATGTACCACAGTCCACGTCAGCGTTTGCTGCACAAGGTCCTTCACAGGCACATAGGCACATGGCAAGATGGTAGATCCCTTCCATATGCCATTGATCTCATCAAGGCCACTCAGGTCTAGAAGAGCTGCAGGAAGAACGGAGAAAGAAAATTTTTAAAAAAAGCAATCATGGTGAAGGCAGCTCCTGGGTGATGAAGCAGTGGCGAGAGCATCAGCAAGTGGAACCCAGCAAATCAAAAGCACGGGCAGCAGACGATGAGGGACGGTCTGTTCAGGGATGGGCTAACAACAAAGCAACGTGGCACGAGGAAGACAGATGGGAGACAGCCGACTGCCGGGGCGCCGACGCGTGCCACGTGCAGTTGGCTCTCCTGCTCTGCCTGGTGCTCGCCTGCAAGCAAGTGAACAAGCAGGCAGAGCGCAGGATCAGAATTAACAGATGACTTAAACCTGAGGGAAGGAGTTTGTCTCAAGCCCGGGTTGAGCAGCTCCCCGGTCACAGCTGGCGCCTGCCCCTGCCACCCAGCATGGCTCTCAGGGCTTTCTTGGAAAGCCCCGCATGTTAACAGCAAACCACAGTTTGTATGGGTTTTTTTCTCCTCCACTGCCCACTTGTTCTTCTGAAAGACACTGCTTTTTCAGACTAAGCTGAATTTAAGCAATCAGACAAGTCTAAAACTCTTGAAGTTTTCCTATAAAAATGAGGTCCATTGACTTTTGCCCCAGTACATTTTTGTCACTCTTAGGGCTGGACCTATGCTTCCATAGATGCTTCTTTACCCTTTTCTCCTGGTTTCCAAACCTCCCCTTTCCTGGAAACACAAGGACTAACAAGACCCTTCGTGCTGGGCTGCTTGCTGTGCTCCATGAAATAACGGTCACAATGTGGAATATGAGATCTTTGTACTCTAAGTACATAGGCAGCATTTCCACAGCCTTCATGCACTGTAGCACTCCACGGCCACTGGGTTTGAAACAACTGAACACTGAGCTGACAGCATGCAAAGACGTTGGCCTTTTCACTGTATTCCTATTCCCAAAACAGAACCAGCCCCGTACAAACACATACGGGCACACCAGTACCAGGGAAGCAACCGCCCCAAGCAGGTGACTTTTCCATAGACTCACCGTTGCAGAAGAGAAGACGACTCACAAGCAGGGCTGCTCTCACCATCCTTCCCATCACTACAGCCTCTCCCTCTCACGTAGGACAGACCTGCTCTCTCTAAGTCAGGGGGTAAATCAGGAACACTTCCCTCACTTCGTCAACAAGAACACAGGACAGCTGCTGATGGTTTATTCCTTCCTCTTTTTCAGAAAAGAAGTGTCTCAGTGATGACTGTCAGAGGTGTGGTCAGAACAGAAGTCCTAAGGGAGGATGAAAAGAGGAAAGTTTAAGACTTGCTTCTACTCTATTTCATATTTCCTGCTATTCCACATTTTTTAATTCCCCTTTAAAATTTTTTCCTTTGTTTCTTTTTATTCCTGAGCACCTATTTCTTCCTCTTTTCTCCTTGCATTGCTTTCTAAATAATAGGTTTTAACATGCACATTATACACAAGAAGATCTGAGAGAATACTTCTACATAGCTAAACAACCAAGGGCCTTACTATTCGTTTTCTTACCAGCTTTTCTATGAAGCTCACCACTGTGTTTTAAATTAAGATTCATGAAACAGCCTAAATCTTTACATTACCAGTGAGAGACAGATGATCATTGTAGGTCCCTTCTGAAATATTCTGGTCTGTATCATTATATCCCATTTAAGAGGTAGGGAATTTAGGTATACAAATCTGAAGACAAAATAATTTCCAAGAGCTACAGGCAACTGGTTTGACCATCCCACTCTATGTCACACGTTGATCCTCCTTTCTCACATAGCAATTTAGCTGCTTGGCTGAATTGATTAATTGCATTCAATTAAAAACATGGATTAGGGCCATATGCACCTGCATTTCCCCATAGACTACTTTGGAAACAGGTAAACAATTATATGCCTAGAGAGAAAAAAGGAACTTATCAAAGTAGCAAATCTCTGAGACTATGAAATTGTGACTTCTTAACTATAATGAGATGTGTTAGTATTAATTAAAGGTAATATTAGCTATAGTTACTCTTTATTATTAAATAATTGAGCACTAGACCTGTCTAGAAGTATCTGTTCTTTACTAAAACATTACCATCAAGAGATCTTACATGCCTTTTTCTGTCTTCTGCAGCTCTTAATTTTTCTAATGACAGAAATCTCTTCTGCTTCATTGTATTCGGCTAAATTGATATGAGCACTTTGCTATTGTTACATCCAAATTCAACATCCAGTCCTCAAATGTAAGTAACGAGAATAGTTAAACGCAATCAACAAAATCCTAGACCATGTTCTAAAGTACAACCCTGCTTTAATGATAGTGAGCCAACGTTTGCATCTGTACAGGATACCAGAGTGATCGATGCTTCATATCTGATTCAGAAGTAGTGGAAATGTGGGGGAAAAATATTTCTTATAGTCTTATATATGGCTTAAAGACAGCTCCACCTATATTGTCATTTGTAGGCAGCTTCATTAGGTTGTTACGTAATTTCACATTAGAAACAGGGGATTTGTGTATACAGCCCTGGGAGCTCTGACACCATCTTTTTCCTTTTCTTTTGAGGTCTTTGCTTTCACTGTGATTGCTTGCTTTGAACATATATTCTTACCTTAGAGTAATTGGTAAATTACTTTTGGTAAAATTTGGTAAATTACTACAAAACAATGATGCTTAAAAGCACATATGTATATAGAGGTGTGATTTATTTTTGATTACTTGTTATTAGCATTGATGTAATTATGACAATGATATTGGTATGGGTTTGAATTTGCTTCTTTTCAGGTTATAACATTCTGATGTCTGTTCCCCTGAAGCTGGTGATTTTACTACACACAATTTTCATGCCTTTATTTGGTTAGAAAATCTTTCTATGTTGTAGTTGTTTATCAGTCATGGCCTACAGAATCATCTTGTTCAATTAATTTCTTACCATCTACTATATTTGCAGTTATACCTGTAATTAAAGAGCACATCTAACAAGCTTAAGGTCTAAATGCTTCTGAAAATATTCTACTTGATAAAGCTGAAAAAAAGGTTCAACAGAGATTCAAGAGATTTTGGGACGTCATTTCATGTGCTCCTCCCTTGTAGCCCTGTATTCCTCCGTCAGAAATTTTCCATGAGATGCAACTCCAACCTGCAGTCACTGGGATGGGGAGAAGCAGGAAAAGCTTGTGTAGGTTGCAGTGTTCGTGTACTTCTTGGTTCAAAAAAGGAAGAGAAAGGAACATGTTAAGTTCAAATTAATGAAGCTCCTTCCTGGGGAACATGGCAGCTGGACAGGAGGGCAGAAGCTCAAACTGACTTGGACTAAGTCATAAGGGAACCTACCACTAGCAGGGTACGTACCAACCGGGAAGCTAAAACTCAAACTGCTTGACAAAGAGAAAGATGTGCATATATTTATACATTTACATATTTATATTTACATTTACCTTTTTGGCTGGGGGCACAGTGGCAGGAGAAGTCTCCTGTCCTTTATATGATGCAAGTACAGACACCTGTACACTAAGGTGACCCTTGGTAGCAATCTCTTGCGTCTGCTTTGGGGAACTATGATAACACAGTACTGCTCTTCAAAATGGCGATCTTGTTTTAGGGGACAGCTAAACATTTTGAGCATGGACTGGATGAGGTTGCATCCTGCAGTCCAGGAGAAACAGATCAAATTAAGTTTTTCTCGTATTCTGGAAAGCTCTGTGTTAGCAAGCACAAAGCAATATGAGATGAAAAAATCAATAGCTAGGCTGACATGGTCCGTGTGGGGAGGGCTAGTCTGAAAGAATATGAAAAATAATTATGAAAGGAACATGTGGGGGCACGTTACCCTTTCTTGCACTATGCTTGCCATGCCTGGGTGTGTTCTTTAAATTCTCAGCACATGGAAGTCAAGGAAAAGCAACTTTTCTGTCCCCAGGTACCGTGATACAGCACAGTAAAACCAAGAAGTGGCAGCCATGCGCGTTGGTGCTGGAGGAGGAAGGAAACTTGCATTATAGTGAAGCAACTGTAGTCATGGGTAACAAAAACTTGTTCTGCACCACACTGCAGTGGTGTAGTAGTCCTGACCAGCAGGCTGTTGTACATGGCGGGGTTAGTGGTTCCCCCATACGAAGGAAAATATGCTGGCTCTAGGAACAAAGATAACTACTAATGAGAAGTTTTTGTTAATCTTTTCAACAGGTAACAGAGGAACTGAGTATCCCCAAAACTTCTGGACTCTTACCCACTTAATGCCATTTCGTCCTCCAGGACTTTCGGACAGAGCCCCATTGACTGCTCCAGGTTATTGAAGGGGACGGATGATTGCTAGACCTTGTCAGTGCTGCTGGGGGGATCCAGAGTTTTCCATCAACTTTGTCTTCATCATTTTCATCCAGTCTTTCATCTTACTCATCACTCCCCATGGCTTCACATGTTTACATAGACCTCTTATATTACTCGGAGGATACCTCTGCTCCTCTGAGTAACAGAAGAGGATTGGAGGATACTCGCTCCTTTGAAACAGCAGTAGCATTTGTTTTGCGGAGCTTGGGGCACGCTGGTCATCTTCTCAACAGCACCTGTTTGTACAACAGGTTCCTGAAGCGGCTCCTGAAGTTGCCATTTTACAGCACAGAATCCATTACGACTTTCAGTTGTCAACCGGGGAGCTTTCCACCACAAGTCCACTCCTCACTAGCACCCAATGCAGTACTTTGAGCTGTACATGACCGCTCACAAAAAACCCACCTGATATCATGTCCCCTCCCTGCTTAGATGTGAAGGCTGGCTCCCAGCAAGCTACCTGCATACAAGCAATGAATAAATGCCCAAAGCCAACCTGGCCCTACACTGTCAGTCCCAATCCCACAAGCTTCTGATTCCATGGCACGTTGAATATGGGTTAATAAACCTAAACTTCCTTCTTTCAGAGCTGTCAGCCTGAGAAACCAGGTGCCAGGCTAACCTTAGCATTTCAGTTATTTTTGAACCAGCAGCAGCTGCATAGTGAGATCCCCTGGAGAGCATTAAAGCTCTCCTTTCTAGAAAATTCAGTAAACAGGTCTGGGAAGTATTGACACACACAGGAACACACATAAAAAGAATGTACAAGAAGCACAGTAACAGTTTTGCAATTCTTGAGTTTAATTACTTCAGCATGTGGGTTTTTCTTGCTATTCAGCCTTCCCCTTCCCATTGCAATCTTTCTTAGGAAACTTGCACAAATAAAACACTTTTCCTAGACCAGTACGTAAGCCAGACACAGATGCACAAGTTTTTATTTGCAGTTTGCTTAAGCCTTGTTTTCTTAACTTCTTAAGAGAGAAAGTGTATTAAAAAACTATTATGCAATCAGATCAAATATCTCACGGCGAGATGCACTGAGATCAGAGGACTACCGTGATGGAAGAACATGACAATAATCCATAACAGGAACTACATTTCAGCCTAACCTTTTCAGGAGAGTTACAGATTAGCCTCTCAAGGAACTTTGTTGTCTGCACTGTGCTGTCAAAACAACACATAAAGTCCATTTTTTACTGTTTTCACTGTTGGCAAAATTGAGGCGTTTGGGAAGAAATTGAGAAAAGCAGATCAAAGACAGACATGCAATTCACTTCTTTCCCCCTCTCCCTTTACCTCATGAAAACTTGAGACTATTCAGCCCTTTGTCTCAAGAAGTAAGCAAAATAAAGAATAGAGTAAGACGTACTGGACAAAAGGCAATTCAAAAGATACAAACATGAAGGGTCACAAGGTAAAGAACAGTTACAGAAGCATGGGAATAAAATGGCACTGTGGAGGCATTACACATATACACACACACTCAGTAGCAAGATCCTCCTCTGCAACTCAAAAAATTTGACAATGAAGCACAAATCCAATTAAGCAAGGCCACCATAGATAACATGCATTATCTACTAGGCTTTAGAATATCAGATTCACTTGGATCCTTGAATACAAAAGAACTCAAAACTTATTTGTTCAGAAACTTTGGAGAGAACAAAGCCTGTAGGTAGCCTGAAGTCCTAAAACCGAAAAAGAAATTTCAGGTAGTTGTGCCGGTAGCAAATATCATGTGATATTATACAACCGGTTTTCTACTTGCCTCCAGGCCTCTTCTAGCCCCAACAGTTTTGTATCATCTAAGCAAATTTCAGGTTTATGTGGGCTAGTGGTAGTCTGCTACAAACTTGGTAGCAGTGAAGGAGAAGTTACTATTCCACTGACACCAGGGCCGATGTCTACACTACAGCTGCTCAAAGAAGTTAGGAAAAGTGTAGGAAGGAATTTTGGGGAATGATTTTTTGATTAAGCAGACACACATTTTTGTAATTCAGGGTCAAGGGACTCGCATGCATGTAGTCAATTTAGCTTAAGATCCCACAAGCAGAAAATGCAGGAAGAAGTCTAGTGTTCATATAGGGTCAGGTAAACAAGTAGCTACTGCAAGCAGAAGAGAAATCTTAATGTAAGGTCTTATGTCAATGCAGGTTACCTCATGACTCCTCCTGCCCATTTTAAGGGCAGTTGCTGGACTTCGCTAGATGTGAATCAGTTCTACTCAAAATTTCTGAGTACACATGACCTGTGAGCTAGGTACAAGTTACCCTAGAACTGCCATGCAATGTGCATGAAAAATAGCATTACGCAGGGTGGCAAGCACTTCCTACCAGAACACCTACAATCCGTGGCAATGGATGTGTGTTAGCATGTTAAAAAGTAATATCCCACAGTTAAAATGTAATTTTCCATAGGAAAAAATGTTCCCTGTACCTAGGAGCAAATCTAGGAGTACGAAAGTGACCTAAGCAGATGCAAACAATTGTAGCCACAAACTATCAAAAAAGAAATCTCAAATTAAAAAAAAAATTAAAAAAAAAATAAATAAATCTTAATTCCAAACAGTAGACAAGCCACTTATTGAAACAGGCCCTCAGAAAGAGTAAAACCCATGTTTAAAATATTACACACCACATTACTATCCAGCTAATAAAAAAACCCAAAAACCAAACAAAAAAACAAAACCAAAAACAAAACTCAGCCAAACTTTACAAACAGGATACAAACAGATTTCCTTTTGCAATAAGGCTATCGGATAAAAAGTTACAGAATACGTTGTGGTATGTTTACAGGGAGGTTGCTCTTCCCCTCCGCCTAGTGCCTTCATTCCCACCAGCTCTTGTTTCGAGCTTGTGTTCAGTTTTTCCAGATGTGCTCTTTGAAAGAGAACGTTCTTGTGTCTATACAGAATATGACAACCAGGAAGCAGGTGAGGAGAGGTCAAACTTCTTGCTGAGCCATTTCTTTGTTGTCTGTTTCGCACCACTAAGCCAGTTACAGATTCTATGTGAGTTCAGGAAGTTTCTATCTCAGAGGCCTCTTCTATGAAGTTAGCAACAGGACTGAGGAGCAAGAGTGGAAACAGTTTATACTCTCCATTCCCATCTTCTGAGAGGAGAGGTGGATCACCCATTCCCAGAGCATCCAGAGGCTCAGCCTGGTTTGCTGGAGCTGCTAGAGGCAAGACAGTTTCACTGCCTGAGGGAGGATGAAGAGCAGGTTTCTCCTCCAGTGGGGGCAACAAAAGGTCTTTCGGATCCTCTATCTTCCCTGCAGCTTCACTTGAAGGTAATTCTTCAAATAATGAAAGCAGAGGATTGGCTCTGTACTGTATCAGCTGCATATCTGAGGGAAAACAAACAGTTTAAACTCCAGGCTTCTGTGTCACATAAATGAAGGCTCTTATTCAAGACAAGGAAAACTGGAGAGGCTGCTTCAAAACTTGCTTCACTAAAGCAAACCACACAGCTCTGACAGACTAGATCCACAGCTGCAAGGGGGGAGCTAAGGCTCCTGTGTCTGTTAGTACCAGTATCTGAAGCACACTTCAAGCCCCTAACACATACAGCATGCAATGGCAGCACTGAAGTAGTTCAGTAAGTAGCACTGCATTTGTGGGGGCCGTAGCCCATATAGGAGATACTTCCACAAGGACATTTGCAGTTCTGTTCCCGTTTGTGACACTCTGTCATGGATAAGAAAAAGGAAATGGTAAACACCAACATGGGGCATAGGATGGGGCCTCTTAAGATTAGATGAATGAAACATTCCAGTCCTCACAAAAAATTTAAGCCCAGACCAAAGGAGGAGATAAACCATATTACAGGCTACAAAAATTCCATTTCAACACACAGTTTTGGATGAGTTTGGAACTGTCACAGCTCTCAGTGTTCCCTCCTGCCCACCTTTGCTTCCCGCTGTTTCTCTCTCACTTGCTCCCAGATCTTCAGTGCTCTCTGCCAAGCTTGCAATCTGAAGCAAAATGAACAGAGAGTAAGACAGAATGCTTAACAACAAAATCCAAGTCTTCATTGACTGGCTAACAAAATCAAGGGTGAAAGGAGGAGGGAAGAGAAATGAAACAGTTGACCAATGAGTCCAGTTTTGCATAAGAGAGCCAGCAAACAGGAGCTCTCAGAAGAAGGCACAGTGAAAGACAACTTACTAAAGCCAAACAAGCTCTTGACTAGCAAATATTCCAGGACATTTTACCTTCCAAACCAGCAGCTTTATTATAGTCTGTCTTGTTGGAATAACACTGTTAAACATGATTTCATCAATACAATTAAGTTTTGCAAGCACTGCTTGAACACAGCTGCATTTTACCCCAGTTGTGGTCTAAGCTCTTGTGACTGGGAAGTCCTATTTTAAATATTATTTCAGGACTACAAAATAAATGACACTTGCAAGGTTTGTTTCTTTTTTTTTCCTTAACGGGAGTCAATTTTAGGAACTGGACCGAGAGAAGTAAATTTGCACTGAACTTCTGTATGTCCTCTGAGGAAATTCCATACAGCAATGTTCAGAATAAATACAGTATATTGCATTATATTTTTTATTTAGTAGTTTTTCCTTCAGTCTTCTGACAGACTGAAGACACACAATCTCATCCAAACTATAACCCTAGACCTAGTTATCACTTGGCTAAAGAACACCATGGGAATCCCTGAGGCTAGAAAAAACAAGCCAAGAAACTGTTCTCACACACTTAGGCCAAAAAAAGATTAGATTTTCTACCCTCCTCATTCTAAACAGAAGGTACAGAAGTAACAGATAGGAAAAAAAAAAAATCCCTCAATACAGACAGCTGATTCAACAGACACCAGTTTGTTTCACTCTTCCTTACCTTCTCAGGTGTATTGAGAAAGCAAACAACACATTACTCAAAGCAAAGTGACAGTTTAAATCAGCCCACTGAGTGTATTACTGCAGCTAGGAACTTAAGGCTTGAAATTATCTTTAGAACCCTCTTAAATTCATATATGCCAACAGTGATAACTGACAACAGTAAGTCCAGTTTCATCCTGTGCTATCAAGTCAGTCCCTACCCTCAAACTGCATCAGTCAAAATTTAGCTCTCAACATCATATTAACCCTCCCCATCATAGAAGCAACTCTTACTCTTACATTTTCCATACCAGGGGAAGTTTCCATCAAGCTCATATCCAAGGCTGGCAGCTCAGGGTTAAATGTCTGAAAATAAAACCAGACCATACGTCATATTATAAGGTTCTTAAAACTTCAGAGAGCTCCTGAAAGGACAGCAGGATCCAGCACACTCTCCATCCACTGAAGCACAGGAAAGGTGGCTCCTCCACAGGCCTACAGCAATATACTTTCAACCTGTGGCAGTAAACTGAGGTCAAAGGTGAAGGAAAAGGACACCATTATTTCCTGGTGATTCCAGGTATATGGCTGAGTTTCATTCCATATCATAATGCATAATCAAACACATAATCAAGATGTGATGATATGTGACATAGGCTGAAGAAGCAGAACAGAGTCAAATTTTTTCCTTTTTTTTTTTCTTGAGTTACGTGTAACAAAAATAGTATATGAACTGAAAAAGGCCCTCAGCGTTACCTTGTTAGACTCCTAGAATGACTATGTATCATTCTATCCATAACTATTTGCTTTTCAGGATTTTGCCCCCCTCCTGCCCATTACAACATGGAATAAACCAGTAAAGTTTCATAATGCAACCTATATAGGTATTTTTCAGAAATCAGAAAAAGTGAAAAAAAACTTACATCGCTGAAAGCTTCAGAACCAAAGTTATACTGCTTCCCAGATAACATTGCTTGAAGCTCTTCAAGGCTGGCATCAATGCAATTAAGAAAATCCTGAATTTCCTCTCTAAAAAGACAAAATGATATAGCACTGCAAGAAACAGTCGGCAGTTAGGGCCTTCTTTCGCACCACAAGGCAGGAAAAACTCTTAGAAAAGATCTGCTAACCTCTCAGTTATTACAGCTGTGGGGAAAGGCGAGAGCCAGACAGGGTTGCTCACAACCCAGAACAGCTTATTGCCAAAGGAATGAAGCTGCATTCCTGTATCATCTTTCACGGTCCAACTCTTTGAAGGACAGGTACAAGGAAGACTATCTGAACAGCAAGTATAATAATAGCTACCACATCAAAAAGCAGTTCCTCCTTCCATACCTACTTCCTCCTTCATTTTAGTACCTTTGAATGTTCTCAGATCCCAGCCTATATACCAATATCTGTTTGAGCTAAGGTCTGATGGCGTTCACCTGGGGACAATAAATGATAAGCAAAGGGCTGGAAATAATCTGGATCTGAAGAAACATGACCTATTTTGAAACATCAGATTGTTGCCAAACTGTACACCCTTCCAAGGACAGCGGGCAGGATACAAGGGACAGTGAATGATGCGGAAAGGATGCTGCACGCATGGCGTCAGTACGAAACTTCCCGCTGCGCTGCAAAGCTACCTCCTGTGCTGGAATACTGAGCTACAAGCAACAGGCAGTTCCAAGGCATTGCCCCACATTTTGCAGTGCCAATGAGGTAAGATATTACAGGGCCTTCAGATTACACTGAGTGCTGGGGGCATGTCACCTCAGTACTTCCCCCTGTAGTTAACCACAGCAGAAGAGCTGACAGGAGAAAGAACTGAAGTTTGTTCCTTGATCCAGTTCACCCTGCAGCCACACGAATGATGGCACTGATAAAGCTCAGGCGAAGAGCAGAGCTGGGAACTGCTTAAGCAGCAGTGCTGCTGAGTGTGAAACCACAGCCCACACGATTTTGGTCCCAGGGGAGTCTGATCTGACAGTGCACAAGGGGAATGGACCTTTGCAAAAATGAAGGACACAGAAACAAAGCAACAGCGAAACAACATCAGACTACCACCGATACAAACCCATATCCAGTTCTCAGAAACACAGCAGCACATGCTGCCCTCCTGAAATCATTAACCTCGATCTGCTGTTTGCAGCACTTGCCAGCGCCAGCAGTTGGTGACAGAAGGGCTGATGTGACAGACTGACCTCACAAATCCTCAGACTGACACATCAGAGGTCAGGCACACTCATTAGCAGAAATGTGACAGATGAACTTGCCCTGATTTTAGTGTCTTTTTCAAGACTTACGAACAAAGGGGCAGAAAATTCAGTTCATCAACTAAATTTCATGACCTTAAAAGGTCCCTTTCAACCCAAAGACCCTATGATTCTATGATCAACGACATTTAAAAAGCTAATTCACTATGTTTTGCTGAACACATCCTCTAAAACTTTGACCAGATCCCAGAAGAAGGCAACAGCATAACAGTTTCCAGCAACAAGTTAATACCTGTCCAGTAAAGGATCATTTTGGTTTCCAGTGTTGTTCTCATTCAAGATGGAGTCAATCACTGACACAGGGTCTTCTGGAGCACTAGGTTGTGCAGTATGAAGTTCCACAGCAACATTTTCTATTTCACTAGATTTGTTGGCATCATTTATATGAACTGGTGGGATAGGTTCTGCACAGTTTAACTCATTTGGCTGTGATACTTGACAAATAGGTAAGCCAGGATCCAGAGCTGCCTGTGTCTCTCTAAAACATGACCCAAAGATAAACAACATGCAGGAGAATTCATCAACAGTATTACTAATAATTTCAAGTTTAGTATCTCAAATCTTAATACCTAATAAGGTCAAGCCAGTCAAAAGTTCAAACCAACTGGTCTTTAGAAGAAGAAGAAAAGTGCCTTCCTAAAGGCACATGAAGAATCTCTTATTGCAGCTTATACAGATAGCATGTATGAGAGCAAAATATCCCGTTTTGCCAGGCCAAGATCAGCAAAATAGTATATGGAAATCATGCAGGAGGGAAACTCCTAACATTGTGTCTCTGGAAATAAAGGATCCCAAGTTGGTCCATATCTCACTCTGGATGTTAGCAACTAAATGGGTTTTCACAAGAATCTGATGCCACACAAAAGAATGCCTTCCCTTCAGCTATGCTTAGCATAATATTAGCAAGAGTAGTACTGAAACTGGAGATAAAACTATACACCTTGGTTTGTTTATTAGTAATGTATATAGACTGAACAGGGACCTGAATGCCTAAAAGTATGTGCTTTTTTGTTGAATAGACAGAAAAGCCTCAGCAAATCAAATTTCAAGTGCCAATCAGCTTGACAGGCCTTCAGGCACTCCTGAAGACACATGAGCTCTTTTAAGACACTTTGCTGACCACGACCAATGCTACATGCCGCAAAAAAAGACAGCCTAGAAACAGGCCTGTCATGCGCAAATAAATTCAGAAGCTGTTTCCCAGAACACACACGGATCACATTAACATAACTACCTACTTAGCAACCTAAGCATCAATACTTCTGCATCCTTTAAACATACCCGGCTCTGCCACTTGTGTGTGCCACAGCAAGGAGACCATCGGTGGCATTTTCCAGGGTATCAGTGATATCTCGAATGATGAGACCTGTACCATTGCCATCCTCATCATCTGCATTATGTTCAGAAAAAGCCACCTGCAGGATACAGCAAATAGAATGAGTAAACCAAAAGGTCTGATTATTTTTTTATGTTGAAGCTCCACTCTTCTTGCAGCTTCTCTTTCCTGTTCAGATTTTATCTTTGACTAGTTGTACTGATTTGCATGATTTTACAGAGCAATGCTTTAAAGCTGCCCATTTCAGAACATAGTGCATTTGATTCTAAGATTAGGGTATTAATAGTTATAAGGAAGACTTCGAGATCACTGTCTCTCATCCTGTCCAACCCATTGTCTCTTT